AAATTTTTTTTATTATTTATGACATTTCTAATTGTGAGAAAGATTTTAATTTTCCTAAATCCCATTTAAAAACAGTCAAAAAAAAAAAAAAATGAAAAGACTGCAGAGCTAGGTAAAACAAAATAAAATCTAAAAAGGAAGCCCCATCCCCCTTTGGAGGAAGAAAGAAACACGGTGCTTTGTCTTCTGACGACGACTCTCTTTCTCCAGCACGAGTCTCTTTTCCCATCGCCCCCAAATTCATCTTCCCCATCTCTGGATAATCTCATTAGATATCATAATTTTGTCGATTTCTTCTCTTCTTGATACTGCATCTGTTGATCCCAATTCAATTTTTTTTTGTATTTCTTCTCTACGGTTCTGGTGGGGTTTTTTTTTTTTTTTTTTTTTACTTTCTTTTGAAGGCCAGTCTCTGGATTAAGAATTCGATACATTTTGATATTGATCGTAGATCGTCTATGGATCTTATCTGGAAGTCTTGTCAATCTTTCTGGCCGTGAATGAGAGATAATGGGATTGGAGTCAGCTGGTGGATTATCTGATCAATTAAGAAAGCGTCAATCTTTGAGTAGCAATCCAATCGGAGATTAGTTGTGGGGTTTTGTTGTTTTGTTTTGTTGGTGCTTTGATGTTTGTGTTTTTGTGTGGTTGATTGAAACGCATGGAGCAATTGGGCATGGTCAATTCGTGGGTGGAAGCTTGATTCTTGCTTTGTTTCATGGATGAGGTCAGCCCTAGCAATGCAGGTGAGCCTCAAGCGGGCACAGAGGAGTCATCTGCAGCGCGGTGGAGGCCAAGGCAGCTGGTTTTTGGACCATATTTGCCTCGAAATGAGGCTGACAGCAAGCCGTTCGTCTCTGTCAGGAGACCTGTAAGTTTTCTTGCTATTTAGCTGTTGTGTTTTTTGGTTGCATGTGTAGTGGTTGGTAGTTTTGTTTATGTTCTGTACTAGCGGAGCATTTGTTGTTGCAAACTTAATATTTTGAAATGTGTTGGAAATTGAGAATTGAATTTGATTTGAGTTTTTGGATGGCATGGATTAAGAGGGTCCGAGTTAGTTCTGATTGTACATAATCATGTTCTAGTCATTAATAGTAGATAATGCTGGTTGTCTTTGCTGCTTTTTTATGGAAAAATGTTAAAAAATGAAAATGAGGGAGGGAGAGATGAGGTATCATAGTTTCTGAAAATGAAAAGTATAAGGATGGGAGTTTTAAAGTCAGTAATTCTAGTCTTCTTCTGAGGTGGTTAGTGTTAAGAAATTTTTATTTATTTTATTTTATTTTTGAAAATACATATAAGTTGTTTCAGAAACCAGTTCCTAAAAGTTTTCTGGCAAAAACAACATAAAGTTGAGCATAAGGAGAAGTAAATCTATGCACATGAATCAGTTCTCCTGTGTGTATTACGGCTAATACTGAGTGAAGTATGGTGAATAAAATTTTGTTGGAGATCATTGTATATGCATTCTCTTTTAAGTTTTTAAACCTATCACAATGATGATCATTCACCATTGGGGTGGACCATGCTAGTGAAGGTCATTTATTTGGACTGGCTAGTAGCAACGAAGAGCTCAATATAGTTTTGGCATCTTAATTGAGTAGTACTGATGCATTCTTGATTCATTATAAAACAGCTGAATTAATTAAATTTAATGGATTATGATGATGGTTAGCTCATGGTAATCTTTATAGTTTTCCAATTTCACTCTTGAAAATTTTTCGAATGCTTGGTAGATTCTGGGTTGGCTGCAACTATTTATGCTTTTCTGTATATAGGTGCTTTTTATAATGTTAAAGTACAGGAATTATTAGATGCTTAAACATTTTTCACTTATGTTATGCAGCTGCTTAGCCATATGCGCTGCTTTTGTTAATTGCGACAGCCTCATTATTGTGTAGAGTTTGCTTGAAGTCAAGGTTTTTATTTTGGTCTTGATAAACAGGTTGAGGCCCTAATTTTCTTGATATAGTGATGGAAATACAAATATAAATGTTAAGAACAATAGAAATTCTTTGTCTCTTAGTAAAATTTAAAATTTCAATGAAAATTTAGATATCATTTGTTTGTGTACATGCATTAAAAGGTTAATAAACTGATTCTGAAAACGTGACCCATACTAGACATCTATGATTGTTTGTTGCCCTTATCATACCTACAATTGAATATTTTATGCATATCTCATAATACACCATGCTCAAAAGAACTTTCATTTTGACTTGAAGCATTGAATATACTCTGATATAAAATTCTCTAAATTATCCAGTATTATAGACCTCAAAATCTGGCTATAGACTACAAAGGGTAAAGGATAGAAATCTGTATCAGTTTATGTTGATATCCAGCATTACAATGGATTTCTTGAAGCTGCTCAAAGAATCAATCTCTTGAAATTTTTAACAGTTGTTTGTCCTGCAATTTGACAGCCTTCTAAGTTTTAAGATTCTTCTCCATTTACTAATTTGGTGAATTCTATCAGTTTAACATTTTAACCAAAAATCTTGGGTGGAAAAATATAATGTTGGATTGGAAAGTTTAAAGTTTGTGTTAGTGCCAGTACCATCACATTTTAATGATGGTAAATCAGGGAACCGAAATTTGTTTACTAAATGTCAGATTATCATATCAGGAATACTTACACTGTGTGCATCTGTTAGGCTTTGATCCTATTTGTTGAATCATCTGCCCCCATCTGATCTTGTGTGTTCAGGCTAATTTGCTGATTTAGTTCTTTGCAAGAGCTAATTAGAATTTCCATTTTGATCTTTTAATGCCTGGATATAGTTAGCATACTTTCTAGAGTTGAGCTTGGGTGAAGCAAATATTTGTTCTGACATGAAGCTTTAAATATGCAGTTGGTGGCAAGACTGACAAGGGACATAGTTGAAACTTACCAGAAATGCAATCCACAGTTTAAATATTCAGAAGAGCTAAATCCCAAGCGGTTTTTAACCAGCCCATCTGTTGGAGTCCTCAATGATGGCTATGATAATGTAAACTCAGATCTTATTTTGAGTGTGAACTTGGTCTTGATCAATTTAGATACACAGCGAAGGTTCGTCATAACTAATTATATATTTCAGTTTTTATGGAGCTATCTTTTCATATTAGGTTACTGGAAAAGTAAAGAGGCAAAGTGGCATAAGCTAGCTTTTGAATAAGTACTGTTTAAATGTTCTTGAAACATGTAATGAATTTTAAATGGTCTACAATTTGCTATTTTTCTATGATCTATCATACATTCTTGATGTTAACTTCTTTGGGTCAAGATTGTGCTTACTGTCTATGCACTTCAATTTATGTTTTGCCTCATGAGGCACCAAACATAATGGAAAAGGTAATGTATACTTCATTGTTAAAAAGGAAAAGCCAAAGAGTAAACTATACTTTTGAATATTGTAATTAAACTTAAGCCTCTGATCATGTTATCCTGCACGTCTATAGGTATATTGTCAAGGATCTTCTTGGTCATGGTACTTTTGGCCAGGTTGCTAAATGCTGGATTCCAGAAACAAACAGTTTTGCTGCTGTGAAGATAATAAAAAATCAACCTGCTTATTATCAGCAGGCGCTGGTTGAAGTAGCCATTTTGACAACGGTAATTTAATCTCTTACAATTGTATATTTTTTTTGTGTTAGTTGTGATTTCAATAATGATATATATATCTATGTTTTTCTTGTTGATTTCTTTTGCAGTTAAACAAAAAGTATGATCCAGAAGACAAGCATCACATTGTTCGTATTTATGATTACTTTGTATATCAGCGCCATTTGTGTATTTGCTTTGAACTTCTCGACACAAATCTGTAAGTTATACTTTATTCTCTTCCATTAAAACCAGATGCATCATCTGTGAATTTATGCTACGGATTACATTTACATATATGCCTTACTTGTTATTGTTTCTTTTCACCATGTTTTTGACATTTTTTCCAATTCAGGTATGAGCTTATTAAGATAAATCATTTTAGGGGTTTGTCATTGAGCATTGTTCAACTGTTCTCTAAACAGGTAATTGCAATTTTTTTCTGGTTCAATTTAGATCTGTTATGCATGTTGATAAGATTGATTATGGATATCCTTCCCATAATCTTTTTTCTTAAGTCACATTCTAACCTTTCTTACATAGATTTTACGTGGACTGGCTTTGTTAAAAGATGCCGCGATAATTCATTGTGATCTGAAGCCTGAAAACATTCTTCTGTGCACAAGGTGAATTACTTTTCAGGATCTGTTTTGGATTTAAGCTGTGTAGCAAGAGTTTTATTTTTAAGTCAAGTTTGATATTTTTATCTTGAAAATAACAGTGTGAAGCCAGCAGAAGTTAAAATAATTGACTTTGGGTCAGCATGCATGGAAGATCGCACTGTTTATTCCTACATTCAGGTTTGAATCTTTAACAACATGTATTCTTATTCTTATCATGCTCAGGAAGTCTTACAGCTCCAATCTTTTTTCTTCTACAGAGCCGTTACTATCGGTCTCCTGAGGTTCTTCTTGGATATCAGTATCCTTCTACTTTGATTTGTAGCTTAGGGACTTAATACTTTGCCCCATTTCTCCATTTGCTTTGTTACCGTCCGACATAAATAGTTTTTTTGCTTATTATCTCTTATATTTCTATTTGGTTCTGGTGTCTAGCTTTTTCTTTTTTCTTTTTATGGTGAGATAGAGAAGCTATATGGGATGGGGAAGGTGGGCTAGAAAAGCTTGAGCCCTGGTCATCTAGATGGAGTACCCCTGAGTCAACCACCCTAGCTAATGCCTAGGTTCTTTTGGTTTTATTTTTTATTTTTTTCTTGTGAGGCTTCCTCCCATCTTTTGTTCTATGCTTGAGAAGTGTGGATCAATCCTGAGCACAGATCAACCTAACAAGATATTAATCAACCATTTTAAGATTAACTTCAAATTAGGTTTGTTAACTGCATATGCAAAATGAACTGTATCTACCATTTTATTAATATGAATCTGTGTACATAGTTCTAGGCTGAAAGGTTATTGTGTGTTTTTGGTGCACATCACTAATCTTTGTTAAGTTTTCTCTCTTGTCTCTCAAAAAAAGAGAGAATTTAAAGGGATGTTGGCATTCAAATATTTCAATAGGATTTTTTAATCCTTGATTTAAGGGGGAACCTGTGGATTGAAGTACAGTGTGGACTACACCACTTGTTGCCAATTGGTTTTAAGTTGAATGTTTATTGGAATTAAGGATTAATGTGTAAAACATTTTGGTAAATCTCATGTTATGTTTGAAAATTTAACTTATTCCATTAAATTGACTGCTGATGTTGGAGTTCAGCATTACAGATCTTGAATTTGATGGATTTGGAATCAACCTAGGTAGGTGGTTGAAAACTTAACCTTTGGGGTTGACTGTTCTTCCTAGCCAGACCATCTGGCTGGGAACCACAATAGATAAGATAGATGGATGGCCTCTGTTGTCTTGTCATTCCTTGGACCATCTCTTAGGGAGCTATCATATAGACTTTATGCAACATCATATATGTATAAAAAGACTTTATGCAACATGCCTCTTGCTTCGTCGGGGCTATCAGCCTAAATAAAGAGTGTTTTGGTCCCTTCAAGCTTGTATAACTGTCTGTTTGGGCTTAGTTGTAGCTTCAACTTTTGCATTTCTTTTGATTTGAAATGTTAATTTATCTGTTTGGTATTATCCAGTAGAAGTATGAGGATTTTCTCTTTGAGAATAATAAACATATTACTTTTTCTGGTAAAAACTATTTTGCATGTTGTGCTGGTTTAATTACTGCAACCTTTGTATCTAAGTTTATAGATTCATCTATCTTTTTAGAAGTAATAGTTAAAATATGGTTGAAAAATAATCCTTATTGATTCTGCTTTGTATTGTATTGGATGATTAGAGATCTTAATTATGATTTTCTTCCTTGAGAGAAATGTGATTTAGTTTGCTCCTTGACCCTCCTCCAGATATACAACAGCTATTGATATGTGGTCCTTTGGTTGCATAGTGGCTGAACTTTTTCTAGGGCTACCATTATTTCCAGGTGTTTCAGAGTTTGATCTTCTTAGGCGTATGGTTGAAATACTAGGGTATGGCACTTTCTTTTGTGTTCACAAAGAGAAATTAAACATTTTTTCACTTTAGACATCATTTTCTGCTGCATGATTTAGGAGTAACATTTCTTTGGTTGGTATTCCTTCTACAAAAATGTATAAGAAAGCAGGTGGTTTTCTCATTGCAATGATAAATGCTGGATAAGTTGTCTGCTGAATGAAAATGATGACCATTGGGTCTTTTCCATTCTTATATTCACTGCAAAACTTATAATTCTAAGTTTTTTATTGGGAATGAGCATATGGTGCTGTGATTTTCATCGGTGATCTGTTAAGAGATGCAATGTTTTAGGTCTTCAGTTGTTTGAGCAATGTGTAATCTAACTTCTGGTGGCTGACATTTGGTGAATATTGGACTTTAGAAGTTGATAGAAGAACTTTTGTAATGAACTTATGCTGAAAGAGAAGAAATCTTGCACCTGCAGTGCACATGAACCCACAAGGGCTTGTTTGGTTGGTGGTAACCGCTATTCCTTGGTTCCTTGGTCAAACTAAACAAGCTAAAATTGAAAACTTCCATATGAAGCTAGCAATAGCTAAGCTTAATGTCTAATTTTTCTTTTATATTAGCAAATAATCCAGGAATACCTATTCCTTAAAAAATGGAAGGAATACGTATTCCTCATTCATCCTTTAATTTAGTAGAAAATTATTGACATTAAGGCTTAGTTATTTTCAGTTTACTATGGAAAGTTTCTTAAATTTAACTTGTTTTTATAGTTTGACCAAGGAATAGCTATTACGACCAACCAAACATTACCCAAGTGCTTTGTGTAAGTGATCTGATTGCCACAGGGCATATGTTCTGCTAATTAAGCAGCAGAGCGCAAGTTTGGTGAAAAACCGGAAACTCTGCCAATGTTATAGGCCTCTTTTTTCTGATTGACAATGTAGTCAATCTCTATTTTGACTAATCTAACCTTACACCCTTAACAAGTTAAACCTGAACCCCAGGCAATCTTATTAATTGAAAGTTAATCCACAGTAAGTTCAGAACCTTGCATATGAATAAAAGGGTGACCTCATCAAATAATAAAATTTAGAAACAGCCATTCTGGCCTGAAATACTTATATGAATATAAATGGAGGCTTGCTCTAACATGGTGGATTCCATCTCTACAACTTTAGAATCTTTTATAGTTTGGCTTGAGGTGTGTTTAATCATATTCTGTTTCTTGATCTTTCTGCTACATTCCTGTGCTGGAAGTAGACACATGCATACTAGTGATCTGTTCTTAATATTGCTGTAACATAAACCTTCCTCTTCAAAAAATGTTATTTTCTTATCCCAAAGAAATATAAAATCTTATAAATCAAATAATCTTGATACTCATTACCCATCAGTTGTATTCTTTCCTATTCTTCAGAACAAATTTTCATATGTGGTTGTAATGTTGTAGAGCACAACCCCCTGACTACATACTAAAGGAGGCAAAAAACACCAGCAAGTTTTTTAAGTGCGTTGGGAGTGTCCAAAATATAGAGAATGGTGACTTTTCTGTCGGTGGCAGAAATTCTTACCAAGCATTGACAGAAGAAGAATATGAAGCTGTAAGTCTTCAAAAATATCTAGAAGTAAAAGAAAAGAGGAGCTTTTCTTTGATGAAGATATGTTGTAACATTTATTCATTTCTTTTCAAATTTATTTTTTTCTTCTGATTGTTATTGTTTCTTGTTCTTGTGCAGAGAGAGTTGAAAAAACCATTGATCGGGAAAGAGTATTTCAATCATAAGAACCTTGAAGCAATTGTTACAAACTATCCTTACCGGAAAAACCTGCCTAAAGAAGATATTGTTAAAGGTTAAGATTTATTTTGTGTAATTGAAATTGAATGCATGGGATAGCATAGTGTGAAACAGTTTATGTATATATATATATATGGAACAACCATCTTTAAAGAAATTGCTGAGGCTGTTGTATCATGAACCTGAAACAGAAAGCCAAGTACGACTAGCTTTGGTTGATTTCTTGAGGGGACTTGTTGAGTTTGATCCTGCAAAACGGTGGTCACCTTTTCAGGTAATTGACACTTCAACTGTTGAGCATTTTTTTATATCTAAGATTTTGAGATTGGTGATGCTATGCCAAATAATTTCAACACTCTAGATGGTTAACTATGAACTTTCTTCCAGGCTTCGAAACATCCTTTTGTAACTGGACAACCATTCACGTGCCCTTACAAGCCTCCTCCAGAGACCCCTCGGGTGGTAAGTGAATCAGATTACATAGCTATTGACTTTTATGAAATTAAGGTGAAAAGGCAATGTTAAGTTCCCTCAGTTTCTATTTTCACTGCCTTTCCACACCTCACCTTCAAATATCAATCATGTTTTTCTGGTTAGGCTTGTTATCCTTTGTTTCTGGAAGGAACACAGCACATATTTTGTTGAATGTTAGTAGACTTGTGTAATACAAGATAAATACCATTAGCATTAACTGTATCCTTTCCTCACCTGGTACCACTCCCAAGAAAATAGTTGATTAACTTGTTTCTTATTTTTAAGAACTGTTTCTGACTATTAGTTTTCTTGAAATTCTGTTTCCAACTTATGAATTTGATTTTCCTTTGGGAGTTTTTTATATGTTCTTATTAAAAAACTTGGCACATTTTTTATGTGTTTTTCCAGATCCAGTCTTTTCCTTTCTTCACTTACTCTATTGTGCTTGAACTAGTCATGTTATAAGGTTGGTTTAATTGGTCTTTCCCAATTCCCATAAATTCTGCTGGTTTATGCCATGGCAACCAGTTCTGGTTATTACAAGCTTTATGTTTGATGATACTTATCTGTCTTCTTACAAATATGAGAAATAGAAGAATTGATAATTTATGTAACGTGCATCTCTCTCATGTTTCTTCTCTCTCTGGTAGCCTGTTGCTCAGAATCTTAAGGTGGACCATCATCCAGGTGGAGGGCATTGGTTTGCTGCTGGTCTCTCGCCTAATGTGAGCGTAATTCCCCTTTAATACCAATGTTAATGTTGTTAATATCTGTCTTGATTGAAATAACACACATACTGAGGTCTATTTTACTTATGTAGATTTCAAACAGGAATAGAGTTGCCATTCATAACAGCCCACACTTTCAAATGATGCCTTATGCTCATGCAAATAGTTATGGCAGTGTAGGAAGCCATGGGAGCTATAATGATGGCACTGGGCTTGGAAGCAGCTATGGGAGTTATGGGGATAATAATAATATGTTTGCATACTATTCACCTGTTGGTCCATCTGCAATTAACATTCATGCGCAGGGTGGTGCACCAATGCTTGGAAGTAGTCCTGATGCTAGACTTAGGATTATGCAGTACTCACATGGAAATGGGCTGGGTATGAGTCCTTCGGCAGGAAATTTTGCACCACTTCCCCTGGGCACCAGCCCCTCTCAGTTTACTCCACCAAGCTCCTACAATCAACTTTCAATTGGTTCTCCTGGACATTATGGTCCAACTTCTCCTGCAAGAGGCAGTTGTCAGGGATCGCCTTTAGGAAAGATGGCTGCATCTGGCCAGTTTAATAGAAGAAAAAGTTGGGGATACTCTGGAAGTTCCCAATCTCAAGAACTCCCACCGTCTACACATTGGCATGGACATGTTAGTGATGGTGCCACCTCCAGTCAAGCTGAAGGAACTTCTCAAGTGGTTGGTGGTTCCCCCTCAGATCTGCAGTTAAATTCCAGCACAGCCAGCATCAAACAGCAGCGAGGAGGTGTTGGCATGGCTGCAGGCTTCTCTGTTATTCCAAATGTACCTTGCTCCTTAACCCATGCTTCCAACATGCAACTGCAGCATGGTACAGGACTAGCTCATGAAAAGTCTGAGGCTAGCCTGTCATTGCCTGATCCAGGAGATTGGGATCCCAATTACAGGTAAGCTCCATGCTTTAAACTGCTTTTTGGACTAACATGTATAAAATGATTTATGTTAATATTTAAAAGATTGATTTATTCAGGATGCATAGGCATTGCAGCGTTGCTGCTATCACTGCATTTTATGTGTAAACTATATCCAAAAAAATTGAGAGGAACTGATTCAAGTCTTAAAACTACTTGTTTGCTCTTAAATGTCTTTTTCCCTCCTAAAAGTTATCAAAGCTGTTAACAAGGACAATTGTTTTATTTACCCTTTTAAGATTTCAGGGATGTTGGGATTAGTTGTTCAAATCCAGCTAGTAGCTAATAGCCAATATCTGACCAACCACTGATATTTCTTGTTGTTTATAATCTAAGTTCCCTAACAACTAAATCAAACGGCCATTTAGATTGGCCTTTAACAGGAGGATTTATAGCAGCAATATGTGGCATTGACAAATTAAGTTTTTCTACTGTTTGACATCTATCATTGAGATTGTGTTTTGTTTATGAATAGTTAATTCACAAAATAATGTCTGATAAAAACAATTCACAAATAATATGGATTTAATCTCCTTGGCATAAATTTCTTGATTAAGAGCAACACAAGATGAATGCTCGTTATCATTGTAGCTTTGTAGTTTTCATGAATATTGGATGTGGGTTAAGGTGATATATTTGTGAAACAAAATTCCAGCTATCAGTGACACTATCATAAACTAGATATTGAATGCAAGGGATCTTCATCTGGTGCTTATATGAATTCTAGGAGTTATGATTTCATGAATGATGAAGCTGCATTCAAATACAGAAACAGACTAGATTCCTCATAAATTCTAGGAGTTGGTTTCTAGATTCTTTATTGTGATTTGAAAAATGTGATCCACTGATCCTTTTAACTGCTGATGTTACATTCGTTGTTGCTATTCCAGTGATGATCTTCTTCTGCAAGAGGGTGGATCGGATGAGAGCTCTATAACAGCTGAGTTCGGCAGGGTAATGCATCTTGGTGTAGCTGACTCATCAGTTGGTACTTGGAGATTCAGCTGTGCCTCAAGCACAAGCTCAAGTTTGCCAATTCAAAGGTATATTGCTAGTCCTCCAGTACTGGTGGCATTGCTTATTCAGAATTTCTCTACCTAGTAGCATGTTTGATAAGATGGATGGAAAGGAAATGGGGAACGTATCTCTCTACCTTCTAGTATGTTTGTTCAGTCAGTGCAGTGTTAATTTGTAAAGTCTCCTCGCATCTTTGTCTTCATCTTCTCATCCATGTCATGTTTGGTTTTGACTTGTATGCATTTCAGTTCTATTCAAATTGCAAGTGGTTGGTGGTGCCTGAGAATAGTCAGACCACCTCATGATTTGTTTATGCTATGTAAAATGTTTCAAATAAATTAAACTCTTAGTGATAAATTGATGATGAACCAGAAAAAGATATGGAGTAATTATTTGCAATATTAAGGAGTGTTATGTAATTATTATTCTAGTTCTTTTTTAGGTTATTATTAGTTTTCTTACTTCTGTTAGGATTAGGTTTTTTATTTAGAGTATTTATTATGAATCTAGGTTCTAGTCATGTATTGTGCTGCAACCAACCTTACTGTGCTGCTTGAGGATTTTCTCTCTTTAGAGGTGATGTTTAAAGCCTATCCAAAAAAAGAAAAAAAAAAAGAGGTTCATTGCAGCACAATAATCCTAGGTGTGACTCCTAGGGTTTTTCTCTCTTTCTTTTCCTGTTTTCCTACCCTTTTCATCTCTAAAATAGCCCCTTAATCCTAAACTCACCATACCCCTAACCTTTCCCATGTCACAAAGTCTGAGAACCTCTTAAAGATACTAGGGTGTGGATCAACTTAAGAACTTTCAGATTGGATAAACAATCAAGTAGGGGACAAGGTACAACTTTTGAAAATTCCTGTTACTTCTGGAGAAAGGTGGCGACAGAGCTCTGATTTCCTATTGCAAATTTTGGTATGTTGTATTCATTTCTTTTTAATTTAATTCTCTGTGGTTACGTGCACTTCAGGCCAAATGGACCTCTAGCATTTTCACATGTAGAACTGGGCAGTCCTCCTTCAGCTCATGATCTACATGCTGGATTGACCCGTTTTATGCCCAAGACGTCTCATTTCATTCCTCATATGATGCAAAGTTCTCCAAGTCGTTTGGGACAGCAACCTGTTCAACGGTACAATCATAGGAGGACTACTGCAGCTAGGGGTAATGAGTGGAACCACATGTCCATCGACCTCCCTCCTTCAAACCATAACTCTGGGGGCCCACGTTCTCCGGGAAATAGCTCATTCAGCAATGGCATGCACTGGGGTACTTCCTGACTTTTTAAACTTGTTACACTATTCAGTTGCCTTTCTCTGCTTTAGTTTCTTATAGCTATATGCTATTCAAAATACAAGAATATTGCAGTGTGATATGAGCAATTTTACTGTAGGGCGCAGGGCCAATCATCCCGTCTCAAATATTCTGCCAGCATCTCGTGGAAGAAAGGATTATGGAAGGATTGCTTAATGGCTTGATTTTTTATGGCGTGGGTTGTGTATTGGGTGTTTGGCAAGAAAGTAGTGGACAGTTCACTTTCCTAGTGGGCTCATGTGCAAATGCTCATCCTTACCATGCTCATTCATTGTGCTTTGCATAAATATAAACTGACAAGTACTGTTTGCTTGTCTTTCAGTCAATTGTGAGCCATTGCTATTTGTTTGGATATGGTGTTTCAATGCTCTTAATCTCTTCTTTCATTTCCCAAATGCCTGTTTCCGTATTGTTATTGCTAAATTTACTAATGCTGAGTTGCTGTTTCGCTTATAACTTGCATATCTGTTTAAAGGAATCTAACAGCATTATTGGAGGATATGCTGCGGCTGCTGGAAAGAACTCAACAAGAACTTGAAATCTGACATGTTTCCAGAGGGATGTTTTGGCCTTCTACTTACGTTAAAGGGGTAAACTGAATCGCTTTCCTTTGAGGTATATGCAGGGTTTCAGGGGTAGAATGGAGTCTGTGCATTTACTCGAGATTAGCTTAACCAAATTTGGTCCCTTTTTTAACATCATACGTGCTTCCTGATTAACTTAACATTAAGGTAATGTTGGCAATCAGTCGTTAATATACGATGATTATTTTTGGTGTTGGTGGAAGAAAATGGTTAGAAAGAAATGGTCCAGTTCTTTTGTTCAAAAAAGTGACTAGCTTGTATGATGAGCTCCTTTTTCCCTTAAATTTTTTTTCTTCTTTCTGAATTTCCTTATTTTCGGAAGAAATTGTTGTAAATTGTACGGTGGTGTGGTGTTATTAACACGCTCGAATGCCCATTTTCCAGTTCTTTTTGGCGTTGTGTGTGTGTTTTTTATCGGGAATTTGCAAGTTAGTCATTTGTAATTTGAGTTTAGTGTGCATGAAGATTCAAAATTTTAAAATGTATTATATAATATAATTGTGGTTTGAAGTATGTGTTTATAGGAAAATGTTCTAAATACCATTTTTGTTTTTCTTCTCTTTTTATTCTTTTAATTTAAGGGCTTTAAAGTTATTTTAAGTGTTATTTGTATTTATGCATATTTTAAAATTTTAGGTCTTTATTTATAAAATAATAAAGAAATAAGTAGGGAAGAAAAGGAATTCCAGAGACAAAAGAAGACAAACAAATCATGCAGATTTTTTTTTTTTTATGTCATTTTTATTTTCTATACAAGTTAGAAGCCCTATATAAGCTAAAAGAATGGTAAAAATTATAAGAATAAATCACCTTGAGTTATGAGTTACATGAATTTGACCACCTACTAAGATATCAAGTGAGGAGTTATATGGTGGAACTATATCATTATTGTAAATGTATGAAAGAAGTGAAAGTTAATTACCATTTTATGATGTGTAAATGCATGGAAAAGAGGGGAGGTGAAACATCTACAAAAATGAATTGTTTCATGGTAAAATCTTCTAACACCAAACCAATTTCATAAAAAAATACCATTAAATGAAACTCTAATGTTTAAACTTCTAAAAATTTGGGTCATATCTAGACCTGGCAAATGGGCGGGTTAGGGTCGGGTCAACTCGGATGACGAGTTAGACGTGTAAGGTTATAAACGGGTTGCGGGTTGGAAACATCCAACCTTAACCCGACCTTAACGAATTACGGGTTAACCCGCGGGTT